GACGAGAGCCAAGGTTTATATATTAAAGGTTGTCTAAGTTCCTATGCTACAATACTTTGATTTAATTTGTGGGCAAGAGCAGGAGTGTTTCGTGACGTAAGCGATCACGGATTGCGCACGCAACTTCATGGCCATGTGGTGCTCCATGCATTTGTTTAATTTGAATTGCTTGGCGGTATTATTTTCCACATGTGACGTAATGCGCAGTATGATTGCGTACGAATCTAGACAACCTCTTATATATAAACCTTGTTTGATGACAACTTAAGACGTCGGCCATTTGTTATTTTCAAAGAACGGTTCTAACGAGTTTTATCCCAAGGTTTAAATATAAGTTAATATATAAACCTTGACTTTATCCCACATAAAATGCAACATGTCAATACAATTTGACATTACACTAAAACTTCAATATAATGGATTAATACGGAGAAGGCAATGTCCGTTATAGCTAAATATAAAATAATCTAGCGCGGAATAACAAATGAAGAGCCAATTCATATTTATCGTTTAACATAAATACGCATTATGTTCTGCTAACTGAATCAGAATTGCGAGAGAAAATCACTTATCCCGTGTTGTAGACGGGTGTAATAATGGGATAAGTTACGTGGCGTTTATACCGTTATTGCACCAGACAATCCCATACTATTATTTGCCCACCACACAAAAATAATGACTTTTTTGTACCGTGAGGACAATACTGAAAGAAATTTTTGATGTTGGTGGTGTTTGATTGATGTTTTATAATGTCTATTCTCGTAGTTTTACAAATTTCCAATTCCAATCTATTTCTTCACATAGAATTCACTAGTGCCATATTGCAAGATTCGGTTCCTTGTTCCCACCACATTCTACATCTAAGACCAACACAATAAACAGATAATAGCAATATGACCAAAAAAAACACTTTATTTCTTCATTGGAAACTCGGAAATTATGTTCATCCTTTTGCTGTGTGCATATAATGTCGTCATTTCTGCCAAAAATGATATACCGTATTTTCTCGAATCTAATCCGCACCCTTTTTACAAATTTTGTATGCTCTAAAATCAAATGCGGATTACAATCGGATGTGGATTACATTGGAAAACCAACTTTTTTTACCAACATTGCATTTTTAAAATCTAGGTGCGGATTAGATTCGAGTGCGGATAAGATTCGAGAAAATACGGTAATACTATCATCAAGATAAAGCTCAAAGCATTCCACCGGATCAGAAGGAAACCCAGGAATAAGATCGAATTTTTGGCAGTTTCTTTTTTTCGGTAACTTTTTTTGTATTTCTGACAAAGGTTCATTGCCACCACTTTACTCTTCGTCAGTGTCGCTGTCACCGATAGTGAAAATCCGTCCATGATTTGTAATTTTCGCCATAGCTTCCACTTGAAGCTGTCGACCATAGTTATTGATGTCGTCACAAGTCTTTATTGTCACTATAACACTTTCAGTACCATCATCTAGAGGAGTGATAAAAACATTAGCGGCCTAAAAATCCCCATCTTTTATTATTACTTGAATGAGTTTGCACTTGTGAGGGGTCTGAAATTATTAAAAATCTTTATGGACCCGTTTAGCATAGTTCCAATATTGGATCTTTTGTATTTATCCTATCTATTATTATAGTTGATATATGGAAATGTGTTGAGAATTGTTAGGGCAATAAACACAACGCAAAATAATAGAGGATATTAATTTAACAATAGAAAATATCACTTACCTTTTACTAGCCATTTTTTACGAAAGAAATTTCCAACTTTTTCTACACATTAAAGGCACGTTTCCAGTAAACACGTGGGTTAGTGAGAGTGATTGTTTGACAATAATTCGTTAAACAATCACCCTCACTAATCAACGTGTTTACTGGAAACGTGTTACTACCTGCAAAATAACGTTATGACTAACAACAAAGCGTGGAGCGGAGAAAAACGGGGATGTTCCATTATTGGAACTGTGGGCATAAACGAGTTAATCATAATTAACTGATAGTGATTCCGAAAATCTGGCGGCATTGATAACACAATATCAGTGCTTTAATCTCTTCCGCAGCCCATTGCTAAGACATGACGTGATTTTGAGCATATTGCTTAAATCTGTAAATAGTAGTTCTAACCAAGGACAGTAGAATCTAACAGAACCGCTACATCCATTGTTGTGACAACCTGCCCGCAAACTACGTCACACCATTTTCCACGCCCAGCTGTTGTTATGGTCTATGCGTTTGCTGTTTATTTTTAGAGGTTATATCGTAGACGTATTCATACTATTTTTGAAGTTTTATGTTTTTATACGTATTCATAGCTTTGTTCGTTGGGACTGCACTACTTGCACTCACTTGCACTATGCAGTTTAGTGCAGATGTTGTGTGTTCGTTGGGGATAGTGTAGTTTAGTGCAGTTGCACTCATACTGTTCGTTGGGCCATGTGCAGTGCAATTTAGTGCAGCCAGTGCAAGTTAGTGCAGATTTTGTTGCACCTGCTTTCGATTAAGTTCTATAAGTGCAGTGTAACTAAAATGGCGGAATATTTGAAAGCGTGTTTTGTAATAATTAATATTAATACTAAATATTAAGAAATAAAACCTTATAATAATTAATATTTGTTGTATTAGAGAACACAGTATATTCAATCCCAGTAGAGGCAGTAGAAAACTACCCCTACTTTTTCGAAATAATTTAAAAACTACCCTCTCGATTTTGGCTTCATTAAATACACTTATAGTACATTTAAAAATATTAATTATGTGTTTTTTCTCATTTAGGGGTGGCTAGGGTTAACTACCCTCACCACCCCAAATTTTTTTTTAAGTACTGCTTATCGATTTTGATGCAATTTAGCATGTCATTTCATTGTACGTTAAGTAGTACTTTTGAAAGAACTAATAAGGGTTAGTAATTTGGGGTAGAAAATATATTTCGCTAATAATTGAAAAAAAATAATAATAATAATTGATGAATCGCTACTACAAAAACATTCTGCAATGATTATGATATATATCATTTTCCACGAGTATTTCGCTGACAATCTCCTGTTCGTCCATTTCAAATATTATATACTTTTTTTTTATAAAAATCTGTTCGTTGCGACCACGGTTTATACACTTTTCTGACCTGCACTAAGTTGACATGACATTGCACTGACTTACACTTCATTGCACTATGACGTCATACGAGTGCCATGTCGTGCAGAGTAGTGCAGTCCCAACGAACAAAGCTAATGTCTATCATATAACCTCTAAAAACACAGACAGTTACCAGGCGTGGCAAATAGTGTGACGTAGAGTGCGGGCAACCAACCCGTAGTAGACTACAAAAATACAATGGATGTAGCAGTCCTGTTAGATTCTACTGTCCTTGGTTCTAACCACTTTCTCTATATGCAAATGCAAAAGAGATAGGCCAAGCAGAACATCCATTCCTAGAGTTGACGTTGTGCTTATCGCACCAGAGATTACCAATCCAGCTATTCGTTGAATTTAGCAAAGAAATTTACTGATAACTGAAGTCTGTTGGACTTTCCTATATCAGGCTGCTGCTCCGTATGTGATCATAGGTCTAACCACAGTCACATAGTGCCAGTACAGCCTTCAGGGGTAAGACCCCAATTTTTTTCACAAAGACTACGACAAGTCCACTGGAATAATTTAGCTTTGTGGAAAACTCCCCACAAATATCTATTCCATGAGAAGTTTTTGTCTAGGATTACTCCTCGATATTTGACTTCCTTTGAAAAAGGAATTTTTTCACCTTGAGCAGATTAGTTCATCCAGTTATTGTCTCCTGGTACAATCGTTGTGTCCAAGGGCACAACGATTGTCTTTTGCACAACCATACACAAATGATATCGTCGTCAGCTTTGGTTTTAACACAATTTTTAATTTTTGATTAAGACACTGTTGTACAAATATTTCATTGGCTGAGTTTCTCACGAATAAGACATCTATAGTTGAACTGTAAAACTAAACGAAATTAGTAAGGTGATGAACAAATTTGATTTGAATTTGCAACGATAGATGTCGTTTATTAATTACTTCATTAAAGTCCCTAGATTTACAAAGTACCGCGGTTTGACGCCATTTTGGCTCGAAATTTAAGCGGGAAATTTAAAACTATGTTATTCTATTGATAACATTACGCCAAATTTCCTTTCTTTTTTTCTCATGGTACTCTGAAGAGTCGAAAGTCCTTCTTACTGCCATTTTTGCAACTCCAAAGGCAACAAGACGGCAATATTTTTGTAAATAAGTGGTGAGATGCAGTGACAAGCTGTCAAACAGCCATTTTGGCTTGAAAACAGGCTTCATGAACCGCGGTACTTTGTAAATCTAGAGACTTTAACTTCATTAAATTTGACTACAACCTATACTAATTAAAGCTAATATAATCAACAAAATACCATTTAAATTAGGGTGAACAACATTTTTTTATTTTTCAACTTTCACGATTGTTATAAAATTAAGACATGTCAACAACTCACTCTGCATAAGAATTGTAGGTATAGTTTTATATATTACATTGTTTATTTTTTTTTCCATTTCGGCATGGCTTTAATTAACGTATTTATATGTATACATAATTTTGTTCTTATTTTTACATTAGTACAATAAATATTGCTTTTAATAATTCTTGGAATCTTATACAAAAATCTATATATTTATTAATAACAAAAATTAGTTTAAATATAATCTAATAATAAACTACACGGAAGTGCAAACATACAATCATACTTTAAAAAACGTTTATAAGACAATAAAGTTGGAATAATAGAATTTAAAAAAAACGCAATGGGATACAATAATCAACATTATCGTCTTTGTATATTTTTATTTTTTGTACGCTTACCCCTTTCATAATTTTTTCATTTTATTTTTTATTTCTTAGTTTATACCGAAAGCAAATTCTATTTTATTTATTTTTACAACAACAACAATAAAGACCCTCTCTCTCCCGCCCCAAAAACAAAGCGTATCCTCTCGATTAGATTATCGCCTAAAAAACATCTACAACACTACCAACAACTACTACGTCTAGATGATCTCAACAAAATCAATTTTAAAAATCGAGATATTATTTTTTTTTAATAGGAATGTGATGGTCAAACTACAACTCTAACAAATTTTTATTATTTTTTTTTTTTAGTTCTCCTTTTGCACAAGATTTATGTAAGTATTTTTTTATATCTTTTTTTTCGTTACACAAAGGAGGTTGGCACAGCGCATTAGTTCAAGTCTTTTAACGATTCGAACGATCACGCTACGAAATATATTGCAAGAAGGTATCACTTTTATTCACAAAATTTCCTTAATTTTTTTGTTTTACTTATTTGCGATAGTTTTTTAAACACGAATCATTTTCTTCTTAAAAAAGGATTACTTACGTTGGTGCACCTGGTTGGAAATATCTTAAACCATTTATCTATAAAAAAAGTTATAATTATAATAAACTTTGATAGTAAAACTTCGATATAACGGACTAATACAGGGAAAAGAGTTGTGTTCTGTATTAGTTAGTTTTATTACTACAATCTAACGCTGAATAACAACTAAAACTAGAACTAACACTAGACTAGACAAAACTAGAAAACTAGAGAGAGATTTAGCCGTACGTCTCTCAAGATGGCTAAACCCGAATGTTTCTAGTTCTAGGTCAAGTGTTAGTTCTAGTTTTCCACGAGCACTGTTACTATATAGAACTAACACTATACGTATGAATGATTCTAGTTCTAGGTATAGTGTTAGTTTTAGTTTTACACTTGTACTGTCACTAGAACTAACATTAGACCCGAATGATACTAGTTTTTGGTCTAGCGCTGCACAACAATTAAAACTAGAACTAACACTAGACCTAGAACTAGAACCTTTCTAGTTCTAGGTCTAGTGTTAGTTCTAGTTTTACACTAGCACTGTTACTATGTAGATGCTAGATGCTAGCCGTCTTTAGAGACGTGCGGCTAAACCCAAATGATTCTAGTTCTAGGTATAGTGTTAGTTTTAGTTTTACACTTGCACTGTCACTAGATATATAACATTAGACCTAGGACTAAAAACATTTGGGTTTAGCCGTACGTCTTTTAAGACGGCTAAATCTGAATGGTTCTAGTTCTTGTCTGGCGCTGCACAACCATTAAAATTAGAACTAACACTAGACCTAGAACTAGAAACATTTGGATTTACCCATCTTTAGAGACATGGGGCTAATCCCGAATGTTTCTAATTCTAGATCTAGTGTTAATTTTACCTATTGATTCTATCTTTGAACGCTAAACATTTATATTTAAATATACTGATGTATTAAATATACAGGGTGTTTAGAAATTGGCGGGTAATGTACAGGTGTCCAAATTTCGATGGGTTTGTAGGGTATCTGTTATTATGTTATTAAATTGCGGTTTTCGCGAACCTGAGCTACTTTTTTGTGAAACTTACAATGGCGCAAACCAAATTTTCATAGCCCTCTTCATTTTTGACATACAGCGAGTGTTTCAAAATTTACAATTTCCCTGTATCTCGGCTATCTGGAAACTTAGTAAAAAAGTAAAAACGGATTCTAATCGACATTTAGAATAGTTATGGGATGTTGCTGTAAATGTAAAAAAGCATCATTACAGCCATTTTTAATTCCAATTTTGTTTAATTCTGGGTACTATACAGGCTGATTTATAACATATGGAGCAGACTAAAAGAGTAGGTACAAGAGGCAAAACTGAAGGGATTTTCTTAATAATGTTTTGTTAAAAACTTAATAGTTACATAGATATCGCATGTTAATTTTTTAAATAATTTGATGTCCATTTTTGACAACCGCTGATGGTCAGTAAAGAACAATTAAAATACTTGTCAACGCCATCCTCATTTTTGAAGGAGCTGTAAAACTAGACGATTTATTATTTCAGTAGTTTTGTTATTTTAGATAATACGTAATTTGTTAAAAGATACCTCGTAGATTACAATTATTGTGTTTAGACCAAAGAAATTGTATATATAGAAGCAGTTGTAAACACCAAAACTTGAAGCCAACGTAACACGCGGTTTGTTTACTAACAACCATTGTCGAAACCAGTTGAAACAATGAACGTGCACAGATCGGACCAGCGACTGATTATCGCCGAACATTCCCGAATATTATTTTGTATATTTGTAAATAATTTGTATGTAGAGCATACTAGTACTTTTAGTTAGATATAAAACTTATCAATCAAAATACTACATACATACTTGTATTATTTACCAAGTATATTGTTTCTACGTCCTCTGATTAATTTAAAAGATTACATTATATTTATTGTGTTTAACACTTTCAAGTCTTATTAAAACTTAACAAAGGTATAGAAAAAAATACATTCTACAATTTATAAAAGTGTTACGACAATAATTTTTCAATTAGTAGTTAGTTTAACAATCAATTTTTAATTGTAATTTTATATAAGAAATTAGGATGATCTTTGGATACGCCACTGGATAAAGTCTGACCAATTTCATATAAATCGTATACGCCACTGTCGCTAGGTCAATTTTGTTTCCAAACAAATGCTCTTGCGTTGGCTTCAAACCGGTATACGGGCGAACTTAGGCGATGCGGCTTCTATATATACAATTTCTCTGGCTTAGACACAGACGGATTTCAATTCTAACCATTATGTTGATAAAATGTAAATCAAAAAAATTAATTGTGTTAAGGTGAGTTTAGACATGCATGGACAGTGGCGCCAGTTCTACTTGCACGCCAGTAAAGGTTTACATTACATGTGCCACGCCAGTGATTGGCGCCACTAAATCCATGCATGTGTAAACTCACTATTAGTGGCGCCAACAAAAACTAGAGCGCCAGTAAAATTAAATTGCATGTGTAAACATCTACTGGCATGCAAGTTGAAATCATGCATGCATGGGTCAGAAAAGTCTGCACCCTTCTGAAATCACTCGCGCCAGTGATGACTGTAAAAACATGTAACCGTGACAACATAGATGAGTATTCACAAAAACGCAAAATTTTTTAATGTCAAATTTAGGTTATGTTATGACACGATCTTTTCGTCGTATCTTTTTCTGTATTTCTTTTATCTTTTTTTCCACTAAAAGTTTAGCGACTATTTTGCATGCTTTGGAAAGTTTACTCAACATATTGCACTCTGTGCAATACACTTTAAAAATGAAACTGGCGTATCACTTATTTTTGTTTTTCCACATGTAGTGTAAACTTTTACTGGCGCCACTAAATCCATGCATGTCTAAACTCACCTTAAAGCTAAGTTTCCACATGCACGCTTTACTGGTGCCAGTTCATTTGCATATGGAAATAGCAAAAAACAACTGGCGCCAACAAATTGGTGTCTGTAATCATAGCGCCAATAAAGTTGACGCTACTTCTACTTTTTGGCGCCAGTAACAATATTTATAAAGAAAACGTGTAACTATTAACGTGTTCGTTCAACTAAAATGAACAAATCCACTAATAAAAACCGTTCAAAAAATAGACATCAGAACAAACAGTACTATTTCTAGAAATATATTGTGTTGTTGTATGAACAATATCCTTGTTTGTGAAACCAGAAAAATCCACAATATAAGGACCGACAAGTACGAAATGAAGCTGTTAGAAGGATAGTTAATTATGAAGAAAACAGTTCCTAATTTTGACGAAACCTCGGCAAAAGCAAAAATACGAAGTATACGCAATGCGTATACAATTGAATACCATAAAGTATTTCACCATAAAGCACTTCACATATAAATTTAGAAATTGTGCTTTTTGGCAAACGATACATATATTGCAAGGATGTAGAAGAATCTCCAGAAGCCAAAAATCTTAAAGTTTGCTTGCAGTTTTACGTAAGCTGGAATGGCATCTTTCATATGCGTATGTTGTTTTTGTATTCTAGAGAATACTTGCCTCAACAAAAACATGAAACTCTCTTCAGTCATTCTTAAATGATTAAAAAGTGCTTGCTGATCTTCATGGTATAATTCTCTAATTAAAGTACTAGACGCACCTAGGTTATTTCTACGTGCAATTCACGATCTAACCCAGCAACTATGTATTCGCTTTTTTTTTTATTAATAATGTGTGCAGTTCCAAGGAGCACATTTGGACTACCATATTGATGCTAGCGCGAAGCACATCACTTGCCGCCATTTTTATTACTGTGCCAGTACACAATTATGTGGAAACAACTTCTGGCGCCACTAAACTGGTTTCGTACTGGCGCCAGTAATCCATGCATGTAGAAACTTAGCTTTGGTACATAATTTTTGTGTTATTTTTCAATATACAGGGTCGCTGATATGTATGGAAACCTAAAGTAAGGTAGCTAGCAAAAAGATCTTAAGATACAAAAGTTTTAGTTTTAGCTTTTTAAAATCTATTACAATAAAGACAATTTAAGTATACAGGGTCAGTCAAAAAGTTATGACGAAACCAAGTTGTGTTTTCTTTAATGGAACTATATATTATTCCATATTTCGGTTCATCTCGAAATTCTAAACAAAATTCATGTAGCAGCACATCATAAACCTAAACTCAACTGTTTTCGAGATATTGAACTCTTATAAATTACACCAAAATATTTTTGTCAATTATTTTCATAATTCATCAAGGTACCTTTGAAAGTTTTTCATCTCCATAGCAACGGAGTGACATAACATGTCAAAAATACAAAAATAGTTTAAATAATTTGTGCCCAAAGATAAATTACGTCACTAATTAGATAAATTCGTAAATTTTTAAAAGCTTGATATCTGGAAAACGGTAAAGTTAAAGTCTATGATGTGTTACATGAATTTTGTTTAGAATTTCTAGATGAACTGAAATATGGAATAATATACAGGTGTTCCATTAAAAAACGGGTAATTTTGTTTCGTCATAACTCTTTGACTGACACTGCATACTTAATTTGTCTTTATTGTAATAGGTTTTAAAAAACAATAAACTTTTGTATCTCAACATTTTTCGCTAGCTATCTTACTTTAGGAGATAACTGACCGTTTCGATACCTTTATATTATTTTGAAAATACAGAGAATATTACGGTACCTACTATACAGTAGCATATAAATACAATGTTGCCACATATTTACGTTTCTTTTAAGTGCTTCCTGTAAACCATACAAAGCAAGATACAACATTTTAACATTAACATTTTCGATTCTGAATCGATCGAAGAATGTCGCTGCATATACAGTGTGTTAATTAATTATCATAGCCGACGTCATCATTACAAGTATGCAACCAATATCACAGTACTAGTATTGCATTAGGCGATTTGCACATTTGGTTGCATACTTGCAATGATGACGTCGGGTACGATAATTAATTAAGACAGTGTACATCATCCGCCAATTTCTAAACATCCTGTATATAAATAATATTAACAGTATGACTTAAAAATATTTAATCCGTTATATTAAGATTTTATAAGTATTTAATAAATTTTGAATAATTACTTACAGACATATCATATTCGGTGATGTACGCCGGTATTTCCAATTGGTCGGGCGACATAACCGAATATAAATATTCAACGCCTTGAAGACTGTGAACTTTTTGTTTAATCGCTGGTGCCATAAACGTAGTGAACCACCACGACATCATTTTAGTCCAAAACGTCGGGTGAATGATGTAGAAGGCCTTTAAATTTTTCTTGTATTTGTACGGGAGTATGTTGTAGACTTCGCGCAACCACGAAAACGATGGGTAATTACTACTTGTTGTTAAGGTATGAAAATAGGCGATCACGTAATCACCTTTTACTATTGGGTCAAGTAAAGCTATCAAATATAATAAAGCCTAAAAATGATTAAAATGAAATTATTTCGAGGAGTTAATTTGGAAATATAACGTACCTTATCTAAGTTAATTTTATTAAAAGGAAACCATTTTCCAATAAAAACAACCACCGGTCTTCCTAATCTATCAACACCACTTTGGTAAAGACAACCAATACCGGAAACTTCTGTTAAATCTTCCGCCTTGGCTCTTCTTAATAAACGTTCGTATCTAGAAAAAATAAGTAAATCATATTCAACATTATGTTCATTTAGGTAATAGATAGTTTTGATCTGATTGCACCCGAAAGATAAAACATTCAGAGTCCGTATTGTTTAGAAACGCGTCGCGTCGAAGGGAGAGACATTATCGGACAAGTATTGTTTAAAGTTGTGGAGGCCGTTTTCAAAGTTTACTTGCCGCAACCAACTTCACCCAGTGTACCGTGGAAAAGGGACCCGCTTTTGTCTGGGAAAGGTACAATAAAGGGATCGATGATGCTTGGTTTAATTGAAAAGTTTTGCATCGTCAGGTATACACAGTACCCTGATTTTGCAAAATCCAACTATCGGAATTATTCCCCGACTATATTAAAGTTCTTTACAACACAGAAAACCTTTTCTGACTGATTTATCCAGATTAAATTTATTAACAATTTTTTTATTTAAATTTATTTATACCGATTTCAATTTTAACCGGATGGTGATTTAATCGAATTCGACTTTCAAGGATTTATTTTTATTTTATGCGCGTCGCTAAAATAAAAATTCAAATCTGGACACAATGTTTTAGTGACATTTTCTAGATTTATAAATAGGTTTCATTTAATACGCTATGTATTGATTTATATGTTGATTTAAATTAACATTGTTCAATTTAAATGTTTCGAGTTGAGTAACGAAGTTATACTTTATACACTAACATTATTAATTATTAGATCATTGACTAATTAAATCAAGATCGCTGGAGGCCGAGATTTAGTAATTAAAATTACATCAACTTCAAATTGGTCATCATATTGTGTGTATATTGCATGTAATTTCATCATCAACCACGTGTTAAGAAGGAAAGATAACGTTGCGCATTAAGAGCTTGTTAAAGAGGTGATAAAACAAATCGATTGATAAAACTAAACTTTGTTAATTAAAGTATAAGGTTATTAACATTCGAACTAATTATTTTATGACGTAAAGAAATAACAATGTAATAATGTTTTTGTTGCGAAATAGCATGTTTAAGTTTCTTTATAAGTTTTATACTTGCAAATACGATAAACTGGGTTGTTGCAACTAATGGGGAAATATTTTCAACATTTTTCTACAGTGAATTTCGTTTAAGATGCAATAGTTATTTATGTACCAAGTCAGCAAAATGATTTTTTATTGAACGAGTCTGAATTTAGGAGTCGAGCGGGCGAGGTGAGTAACTGGCGAGTTCGATAAAGTGGCTTTGCTGACGTGTTGCATACAACTTACCAGTTATATGACATATGTTACAAACGATTTGTTTTGTTAATATACGTCGTTACACTACATATCAAATGTCGGTAGTATAATGGAAAGGAAAGTGCGCTGTCAAGTAGGAGGTACCTGGTTCAAATTCAGCTCCGTGAAAAAAAGTAATCATTACATCACTAGTAATAAAAAAATGACACGTTTACATAACATCAGAAAAACATGTAATAGTTATTTATATTACAAGTGGCCTAGAAACACAATTACTGCACGACGAGGTCGTAGACCGAGTCGTGTAATCACACGAGTACTGTAATTATGCTCTAACCCACGTGTGATATACAACATTTTATCTACGACTGCTAAAAATTACTTAAAAATCAATTTCTTTAAAAAGGTCTATTTCGACATTTATAAATATATTTTGAAATGATTGTTGACAATTTTGAATTGTCAGTTTCAACAACATGTTTACTCATCTGGAATAAGTGTTTTGAAATGTAAAAACATAACAATTAATGTTTATAATAAATAGTATTGTTTCTCTGTAAGTAGATAGCACTTTTTCTTTTGTATTGTTGCTCGTTTCAATAAATTAAGTCTGTTCTGATTAGGCTAAAAATGCGTTACGTAATGAAACCAGTGCGGTAATGAACTTCATTACGTAACTCAAATCACCTCAAATGAGTGCGGTAATGATGACTTATCCAAGCAGTCGTAGATAAAAGACTTTTACGTCTGTTGAACTAAAATTAGAACTAACACTAGAAACTTTCGGATTTTGCCGTGCATCTTTTAAGAAAAGGTTTGACGTTTCGGATGCCATGTTGCAACCTTCTTCAGAAACTGGTTCGAAGTGACTATTAAACCTTTTCTTAAAAGACGCACGGCAAAACCCGAAAGTTTCTAGTTTTAGTTCTCGTTTTAGTTCTAATTTTAGTTCAATTAATTCCGACCGTGAAAGCCTTCGTACTTATACTTTTACGTCTAGCTACGAGAATCAAAGAATTTGATACTATTAATTTGTTGTTATGAACAAAATAATCAACATTTAATTGTTTTATCGTTTCATTTCATGATTAAATGTAAATTTATAATAGTACATTTGCTCAATATGTGAGGTTAAGTCCATGTGACGTTAAATGAATTCTAAATGTTGTTTTATTAATTTATAAACTTTAGAACACGCATTTTTCGAAAAAATGTTGTTTGATACACGACAGCGAAATTCTTTTGCATTCTCGAACGATTTTTTTGCTCGCTAAAGCCCGTGAAAAAAAACTTTCGTTCTCGAATGCAAAAGTGTCATTTCGCTATCTAGTATCAAAAATAACTATTTAAAATTCGCGACGGTAATGAAAGCTATTACAGTACTCAAACGGATGCTGTAATGAGACTCCTTACAGCATCCGATGCTGTAATGAGATTTTAGTAACATTTTATGGAACCAGTTCAAGTTGGT